TTGTAAATCAGCTTGTTGTGTTGATACACTTTAACTAAACTTGAGCCCTCCATGCGTTCGTTGGCAGGAAGAGGCAGAGCTGCGCAGTGACGGCACCAAGTCCACTATAAAGCCCAGTCAGATGTCGGTGGCCAGGATCACCTGTGTGAGGGGTCAGGGGCCCAACGAAGGGGTTCCCTTCATTGATGACTACATCTCCACTCAGGAGCAGGTGAGACACTGTGCACCGAAAACACCAGCAAGACAAACAATGTTTAAAGACTACCATTGAGGTATGACACCTTATCTCTGCGTGTATCATGTCTGCTTTATTGTCATCAGACTGTTTGTCCTTTTGTTGCTGTTGATGATGCGCTCATTGATGTAATGATACACTTGATGAGTCTCAGTAAAAGAAAGCAGGACGAACTGTTAAAAGCTCATTCAACAGAGAAACACTTGTTTGACCTGCAGGCAGTTCAAGCAACTCTGGAAAGTTCTGAATTGAGCAGCACATCATTTATGAGAAGAGAGAGGTTTACCTTTTCCTGCTCAGATTGCTGAGCTTGTTTACTTTTCATGTGTCCAGATGGACAAGAGAAGTCTTGATTCATTAGCTTTAATGAAAGCTGCAGAGTAAATATTAACCTTAAAGCAGTACAGCACCTTTTCATTTTACTCCTATAAAACTGCTGCTCTTGTGTACCGTAAGTCACTGGCAGTTCCATTATTTATGATAGGAATATGTAAATCTTACATTTAGCTCATCTATCTAACAAATCTGATCTTACTTTAGTTTCAGGAACTTAAACTAGTTACAGCACATCAGAAACTCCCAGACTCTAGTCTTACAGGACTCTCAAGCCTGATGCTAATCTGTTTTCTGACACAGAAAACTTTGCTTTGGAAGTAGCAGTGATATCGACGAATGTGCTGATCTGTTCAACTTCACACGAGTTTCTGTGATATTGGTTGAATAAAGTTCTACAGGAGTCACATACGGCTGGCAGATCATCTGGTTTTAATAAGTTCAGTTAGCTCAAATTATGTTTATTGCTTTTATCTGCAAAAATCTCATTACAAATTCAGCAGCCATTTTTTTGTGTGTGTGTGTGTGTGCGTGTTAGCCATTTTAATACTAAAGTTTTCATTTGTGCTTTTGAAACTGTTTCACCAAAACAAGTTTCCCCTGTCCCTTTTGTGTAGAGACACAGGGTGCGTTCCAATATACATACGACCATACAGTATAGTATGCCAGAAACAGATGTAGTGTCTCCTCTCCTGATACATAATATGTCAGATGCAGTATGCATGCTGTCCTATTACCTCTAGTTGGAAGTATGAGACCAGCCTGCTATTAAGGCCATACTGACCCACAATCCTCTCTGCAGTCACCTCACATATGTCACAGTGTCTCGTGCAAGTGATAAACAAGCTTGGGCCACCGAGAGCACACAGACCAATGACTCCTTTGTTTGTACTACAGACTGTGACGGTAAAATTTAGGGCACAATATTATGACAAAGTAGTGTGTCTCACTTGTATGCATACTGCATTAAACACAACATACTTTCTAGGAGCAGCTGTAGTACATACTTAAAGTAAAAAGATAAAGTGTGTGATTTGGAACACAGCCACAGTCACAGCATCCTTCACTCAGTTCTGACCAAGATGATTGTAACTGGTTTAAAGAAACAGCGAGCCAGAGCTTTTTGTTCCCCTTTAGCAGAATGATATTAAGGTACATCTGGAGAAGCGAAACTAGCGCACCACTAACTCTTGTGACTGTTTGTGCTTCCAGGTGGTCGACTATTTGACACAATATTCTGGAATCAAACCAGGAGATCTGGATGCAAAAATTTCCTCAAAGCATTTGACCACTCTTAAGTCCACCTACCTGAAGCTGCGCTTCCTCATCGATACAGGGGTTCGCTTCGTTGGTCATGGCTTACAGAAGGACTTCCGTGTTATTAATTTACTGGTATGTAATTTCTCAACAGCTGCACATGTTTTATTTAAAGCACTGTAAATGCATTTTCAGTCTTCTCACTGCAGATTTTCTGTTTGAGCAGCAGTGACTCAAGATTGTTTATTTGATGTTTTTAAGGTTCTGAAAGATCAAGTCATTGACACTGTCTACCTGTTCCATTTGCCACGCAAGAGGATGATTTCTCTGAGGTTTCTTGCTTGGTACTTTCTAGGTAAGTCAAAGTGAAAAAGGTGGAAGTGACTGATACCAAAAACCCAAACAAAACAGAAAAGCAGCAGACAGGGCTGTACTACGAAGCACGTTTGACATAGCCAGGCTTCCTTTGTGTTAGCTCACTTGACAAAACCTCAAATCCCACTCAGAGATAACAGGCATCGTGACGGTGGTTACTGACTTTCTTTGTTAGCCAGGTTACTTTGCACAAAACTAACCAATCATGTGCCACCTACTTCAGACAAGAGGAACAGGTGGTTATAATGGAATACTATGAAGAATATAAAAATGTATTAAAGTGGACAAACATGCTATGACTGACTAACATTGGCCCAGCTTGATCATCGCCTTGATGACTTGAGTTGGGGAAAGGAAAACACTTCTCACAGCAGACATAAATCTGAAACTCTAACCAGAACCTCATCTGGAGCAGGTTAGTTGAACAGCATCAGTTACCATGGTGATCCCGCAGGTTCAAAGAGAGACACCTTCATGACATGAAATACTGGTTTTAGGCTCAACGTACGTCATGAACCCACTAACTTCAGTAGTGCAACCTTGAGGCAGAGGTCTGCTCTCAGTTCCTAGCAGATCGTCTGACTAGTCTTTCCTGATTGTCCTTATCATTGTGTTCACAGACCTCAACATCCAGGGGGAAACTCACGACAGCATAGAGGATGCACGCACAGCGCTGCAGCTGTACAGAAAGTACCTGGAGCTGAGTCGTGGAGGCGGCAACGACGAAGTGAGGAAGATCCTGAAGGGACTCTATGAAAAAGGCCGCCAGCTGGACTGGAAGGTCCCAGATTCAGACACTGGAGATGGTCAAGGTAGCCCAAAAAGTACGACAGAACACTGAATTAGATGTAGTCTGAACTTAATAGTGATGTATAAAATGTCATACTGAGTTTTAGGTGGGAGGGCGTTATCAGAAACGGTCTGAGTGGACTGAACACACTCTGTTTCCTTCAACAGGCGCTGCTGTGTTTCCCTCTGTGATGGGGCTCTGAGCTGCACCGCGACCGACGCTCCCACCGATTCTCCACCAGTGTCACATTTTATACTATACATTGTGTACGGTGTTAATGGAGGTCTGTACAGTCCACTTTTCATTACTGAATCGGGGAACTGTTTTAAACATACCAAAATGTTTACTTAGGGTTTTTGGAAAAAGGAAATGAATTTATACTTCATGATTTTGAACCCTTTTTTTATGGTCTTTTTTTTGCTTCATGTAAATAAAGAAAAACTTATCTTGAACTCTGTAAGATACTTGGTGTTTGATACCAGGAAGTAGGAAATATATTTTCCACAAACACATGAGAGTCGTCTTTCAAGTACACCACCCCTCGTGTTTTTTCAGAGAAACCTATTAAAATTGAACTGTGAATTTAGCCTTATCTGTTTCCTAGCCTTCTGTGAAATTTCTAGCAAAGTCCTATTAACATCTGCTTTCAGATTTCATGCCATTCCAAATTGGCTCAAAACCTTCAGCAACATTTAAAACAAACATTTACCGCACAATTTCAGAATGTGAAATGCCTGTTTGAGTAGATTTATTAATTTGGGTTTAATCCTTTGTGCTAACGGTAGACTTTGTACTTGTAATCCAGTAAACTTTCTGTTGAATTCAGTGAATTTTTTCACACAATCTGCCAGCTGTTCTTTCTGATGTGCTGGAAAAGACGGGAAACAAAGTGGCTCAGATGTTTCCAACACTTTTTGAGTGAGTTCTGTGCACGTTTTGTGTGCAGAACAGAGGAAAAAGGAGTTGGAGGAGAAAAGATGTAATGGTATGCTTTCTAAATATGCTAATTGTCAACAATCTTTCTCCAGAATCACAGACTCCACCTTTAACAATCTTAAAAATTAGAACCACTACAAGAAAATGTACATTTAAATAAAAAGGCAAGGATATTTATAAAATGTAATGCATAGTAAAGAGAGCATATTTCAGTTTTTTGGCTTGTGACCAAAAGGACTGTCTCGTTGGGCTCGTTGTGATGTCTCAGATGTCACTACATTGTTAATAGCTCCACTAAAGAGACATTTCAGCTCTGACCTTCACTGGTGGTTTCACTAAAAACAAATAGTAAAAATATGTTTAATATTTAACAAAGCAGTGCTTAGAAAAATAACTAAATAATAATTAAAACTGATTTATGCTGCCTAACTTGGTTATTTTGCTTTTCCGGTTGTAATAACCAAATCACAGCCCCTCACATTTATCTTGAGACCCTTTGGAGGAGCCTGAGCCCTGGGTTGACAACCCTGGTCTACTTTAGAACATAGTTAAAACCAGCTGCGACAGTAACATGCTGCTCATCTAATATTTATGTAGTTTTACTTATAGTCTTGTATTCACAACCCTCAACTTTTAACAGATTTTTTTTATGTTGGGTTTCTTATCCAATCTCCCTCTAAATCACATTTTAGTGATTTGAAATGTAACAGTGCCCTCTGCTGGATGTTTCTGGTCCTGTGAACACATGTAATATCTTCACATGTGGTATTTATTGTCTTACAAAGAACTGTCATTGGTTTTAAACCTTTCAGCCACTAATTAGCATAATTACAGTTTAAAAGGACTAGTGACTGGCAGCATACAGAGAGTTAAAGAAACACAATACGCCGATGAGTGACTTCAACCCCTGAAGCTGTACAACTTGATATCCCAGGATCGTTTTCTTTGTCACATATGAAGCCATAAAATCTCATTGTTTTTTTCAGCTCTTGCTCTACTCACATGCAGCATGATGAACAGCAAGCCTTCAATTCTGTGTGATTTTAACAACAAACAAAAAACAAACATACAAAGTCGGTATTGCAAACGGTTTATTTGTTGTAAATGAAAAGTGTGCCATTCAGTGAGAGGGAGAAAGAGAGGGCTGGGCAGTCAGGGACGGTCGATGTCTTTGGTCCATACTCTGGTGGAGGGGGTGTCGATGAATCGGTGGGAGACAAGAAAAGGCACTTGAGTTTACAGTTGTCTCAGAAAAGTTTTGAAGGACACAAGGTCTACTGGAAAAAAATGAATGAACTAGGTGTTTTAACCTCCATTATGCCTACTATGAATATCACATACAAAATGCCCCATGTGAGCACAAAATTATATAGCTACATATATGTATATACAGTAAGGAATCGGCAATAAAGTGGGATAGAAAGAAGAAGAAAAAGTGAACTGTTGGATTTATCCCCTTTGGAATTCTTTACAGGCCAAGGAAAGGGGGAAAAAAAAAAAGGGGGGGGGGGCAGCAGTTTTAAACAGGACGAGATTATTTCTTTGGCGATAAACTAATATCCCTACAATTTGGAATGTAAAACTAAAGAAGACGTGGCTAAAGAGAGACGGACAGCATTGCCGATGAGAAAATCACTGTCTGAATTCAGCACGTCGAACAGAAGCGATGTGTTGGAATAAAGGCTGAACAGTTTGTCACCTGTCCTACCGCTTTATCAGTTCATAACTGCAGCTCACCGTCCGTACGCAGAGGACAACTGTTGGAGGAAAGTTGTAGAACTTGGTACAACTTCAGTCTATAAAGCTCTTTGTAATAGTGGAGCCTACCTGCCACCTCTGCAAACACATACGAGGAAACACTGTAAAATACACCAAGTTGCTGCCTTGTCAAGCTGTGCTTAGTTTGAGCGAGTCTGACTGCAACAAAAGCCACCTACCAGCACCTCAGATGTTCACTAATCGACACATCAAATCTTTATGTCATGTATAAAGTGTAAAAATGACAATTCACCCTTATATGGGGTGCTATGTACGGCACTACTAACTATCAGAGGCGTTTGGCCAGGCAAACAGAGGAGATTTCAAGTTCCTGCTTGTGGTTGACCTCCTTCAAACAGCAAACTAATGTTTTCACACTTTGGTTATTGTACACAGTATACACAGGAGGTATTATGTGATGATTAATGAGCTCTAGAGGTGCTGGTAGAAGGATTTTGTTACATTTGGACAGAAAACAGCAGTTCCTTAGCACCGGTGAGGACGGTGCAACAGAAAAGCTCAGGGAAGCAGCTGTGAGTAGTTCTTTTTTTTTTTTTTTTTTAAAACAAACGAGTGGCTCATTGCTGCCTCCTGATGCCAGAAGGCTGAAAACACTCACTGTGCTACTGGTGCAACACAACCACAGCTGTGACCAGTGTTTCTTTTTTTCTTCCCATCGGTCAAGGGGTGACAATGAGCCAGTTCCACAATCAAAAACACACTTTGACAAACCACGCAGAGGTGAGTTTTACGAGAGGTGATCAAAAAGTTCTGGGACTGTTTGTGGTGCATGAAGCATGTCGTGGTCACACGTGTGCAACCTGAACGAGCAGCAACTGTCAGGAGACCAAATGAAACTGCATCATCAAAAGCGGGGACCCATGTTTCATGTTTTTGTGACCACTGGTGGAAACTAGAGCAGAGAAGAGAACATCAAATTCTAAGTCAGTCAGCAGAATGATGCAGCTTTCATGTTGAGGATCATCACTGGAGATGAGAGGCTGGTCTGCAGCCAACACCAAGAGAAGAAGCAGAAGGTTTCACAGTGGAAAAGGGTTAGGGGTTTCCAAAACCAGAGAAGATTCAAGACCAAGAGCATGGTCATGGTTTTCTTCAACATTCACATGGTTGCGCATGAAGAATTATTCCACCAGAGTCACACTCTCAAGGCAGAGTTCTACTGTAACATCCTGAGGTGACTGAGAGAGCAATGATCTGCAGTGTCTCCAGTAATTACACACAGGTTTATTGGCTTCAACAACACAATTGTTGCTTCCCAATTGCCCTACTCACTAGTTTTGTCGCCCTGCGACGTCTTCATCTTCTCCAAACTGAAATTTAAGTAGAAGGGTCACAGATCGTTATATTCTCAGCACCCAGCACAGATGATGCCGACATGTTTACAGAAGGAACTTCCAGGGAGAGTTGTAAGTGTTGGATCGCTGCACACTGTAGCCTCAATGTTGACGACAGCCAAATTTAAGTGTGCTACAGTTCAATTTCTATAGGCGCAGTCTTGGAATTTTTTGATCACCCCTCCTGTACTTTATCAGAAGTGTTTTCACACTATTCCTTTAGCCCCAACTGTGCTAAAAGCTGTCACCTCAGAGCATTTCTGTGGAACCATCCTGGACCATTGTCTACATGTTGGAGGAAAGAGCCCTAAATGGGGCCACCTGTTTCTACTGGCTGCTAAGCTTTATACTAACATTGAACAAGAAAGCCAAGCAGCATTCTTTGCACTCTTTTCTCCGCAATATTCCCTAATCTTTTAGCGCAAATAATAAAAAAAAAAATCTCCCTATGATGAGAAAACTCGTGAAGAATCAAAAACTGGGGAAAGAAAACATTTAAATTCTTTTTTTTTTTCCTTTTTTTTTTTTTCAAAAACTCTGCTCAAAGGAAGACAACACATTATGAAGAAGATGCAGCAATAATGTAACAACCAGTTTTCCACCACAGCCTTGCAGCTCCGCATATGTACATAACTACAAGAAGATAAAGAGCTGAGGAGCCACCAGGGGTCCCAGTCCCTTAATAAGAGCCCACAGCGAGAAAACGGCCCAAAGCAGGCCATGTCAAAGGATCAGCAATGAGGTATTCATCAGCTTTTTGTTCACAAACTGACACTAGGATGAATTTGAACCCCAACAACAGCCTTGCAGCAACTGCTTGGCAGCCACAGGAAAACCAGATCGGTGAAATCAATACAACCCTCCAATGCATTCATCAATTTGATCAGTTTTACTTCCACAGATGGATAAAGTGGGGATATAAAAAGGGAAAGAAAAGATCTTGCACCTTATTTTCTCACATATTTATAAATCGCACGTCTGCTCTACAAGTACCATCTATTTAGAAAGCCGTCATGATGCAGACATCCATGTTTCTAGAAAGGCAAATGTGAAGTCTGTGACTAAAGGCAAGCACGACATTAAGATGCCATTTGTGTGCATATAACAAAACACAAAGAAGAAACTGCACGTGTGGAAGAAAATCCAGCTGAGTAAATGTTCAGAACTACGAAACATGTGCACAACAAAGGAGTTTCTTTGTTGAGCTTTTTAACATTATTCTACAAAAGGTAATGAGCCCTCTCTTAGTTATAAAATAACGGACAGCAAGCCGAGAACATCAGCACACATGACAACCCCGTCGGCCAGTGGGAGGGTGATACATCACTGCCTTAGGCAATAATAAAAAGGAATAGTTTGACATTTCGGAAAAAGCGCTTATTCACTTTCTTGCAGAGTTAGATGAGAACATGGACGCCACTCCCATGTGTTTGGTAAATATGAAGATATAGGCAGCAGCTGACTAGCTTAGCATCAAGGCTGGAAACGAGTAACAACGAAGCTTGTTTCCCTTCACACCCAACCCTCCATAAAATTACAACTTGTAGATTTTATACTTTGGTTTTTGCACAAAAACAAACAAATAAAACAGAATGTGTTAATTAGTGAGATTTACAGAAGCAATTTGTGACATTAGGAGAGGAAACAAAACAGTTTTTCCCCATTTCAAGTCTTTGTGCTAAGCTAAGCTAACCAGCTGCTGGATCTAGCTTCATATTTACAGGCATGAGTTTGGTGTTATGTACCCATTTAACTCTCAACAAAAAGAAGGAATGAGAGTATTTACAAATGCTAAACTACTCCTTTAAGAGAGCAACATCTGTGTCTACAGAGTTGCTCTTAAACATATCTAAGTCCTAGCGTTAACAAGTTCCCTACTCTTTGTAGCAGCCATACGAAAAGCTCTGGATTACAGTTTGATATGTCTCATTTTTACCTTGCAAAGACTAACGACAGTCTGTAGTGTTGATTGCATGTCTACTTCTCTGATGACAGAAATCCCTGTTAATGCTAGAACTACTTTTGCACTTTCACAGCACTTTCCACGGTGAAGGCATTGAAATGGTTCTGGGAGACAAGGAGAAAAAAAAAAAAAAAAAGATCTGACGATCAAATCAGAGAGCTGACAAACCCACAGCAAAAATAGAAAAGTACTAAGAGTTCATCTTCAATAGTGCACAAATTGTTGCAAGTAATCATGTCAGTCTCTGGCAGACTGTTTAACTGCAAAAACTAATAACAGAGACTGACAACAGCATAGCAATGGGATCTCTCAAAGGGGGCCTAAAGATAGAAGCTGTTACCTTAACCAGGAGGGGGAAATGGAAAGGAAGAGCGATTACAGAACAGTGAGAGCTTTTCAAGTTTGAAGGATGAATGGATTAATGTAGAGAGGCGGCGCCACAGCTCGACTGACGGAAATATGTAAACTTGTATTCTATTCTTCATTGAAAGGAGTTAGTGGAGGGGGAGAGCGTGTTGGGTTGGGGGAGGGTACGGAGAGAGGAGGGGAGTGCAAGGGTTAGTAGGTGGGTTTGATTGAGCAGGTGATTTCCAATGTCAAGGGCAGTGTGTTCGCGGAAGCCTTTGGGGCAGCCCGTTGTGAGAAGGTCGGTCTTGGTTGTGGGAGGACGTGGAGGAGTGGGAGGGACCTCTCGAGCTGTTGGAGTGCTGCGACGTAGGACCAGAAGAGCCGCCGTCGCCCTGATAGCGGTGATTAGCCCGGCCAACGTTCCGGTCATGGTAGGAACCGCCGTTATACCGCTGCCCCCCCGAGTGATACCCTTGTCCCTGGAAGGTGCGCCTGTTTCCTTGGAAAATCTGAGAGAACAATTCAAAGTCAGTCAGTGAAGTAGATGGACATCTTTGAGCTACAGGGCTGCTTCACGACCTGAATATCTGACAAACGAGTGCTGACCTGTTTGGTTGGCGGAGGGCGGGTTTCAGTGGAGGGGCTTTGCATCTGGGTGGGGGGAGGGGTCTCCAGCAGGCTGGGGCTGGCGACAGAAGATGACGTGGAGCTGCAGCGGGATCGATTTGAGTAGCCTGTACGTGGATGGTAAACTGTGAGAGAAACCACAAGGTGAGTCACTAACCGCACAACCCCTAATGAAGCAGGAGATTAAATAGTTTTGTAAAATCAAAGTTCCCCCGACAGCAAGTCTTGCCATTATGGTAACTCCTCAGGGCAGATATTTTTGGACAACAAGATCAAGTCTCTATCAGACTGAATGGGGAGAGAGCCATCATTGCAATTTTAATAGTCACTGGGGCATATAATCTGTACAATCACCAGTCAAAACTGATTAAAAATGTGGGTAACTTTGCCCCAAAATAAGGTTTAAATAGCATTGTTTTTCCACTGCAGGGTATCTTTTACTATGCACACCCACATTCAAGAAATTGTGCTCGTATAGATGCAGCAACTCAATTGGCTGGATGTTTTCCAGCTTTTTGAGGCAAGGACAGAACAAGTGTCATACTACAACCACTACCTTTGGGGTTACAAAATTTTTTCATAGCTTTTACTTGTGATTTTTTTAAGAGTGTCTACCTTGTAACACCTCCGGAAAAACCCAGAACAGCCTCCTTTACCTATCTGTATTTGGTACTTTAGGAAGCTCTGTCTCTTCGGTACCTTTAACATCTGTGGTTGTCATATAAAACAGTGGTCTTAGACCAGGGGTCGGCAAACCGCTGCTCCAGAGCCGCATGTGGCTCTTTCATGCCTTTGCTGCTCCTTGTGGCTTTGGAAAAAAAATAATCAGCATTTAATTTAAATTTATTTTGTTATAGTTCGTTCATTCTTAAAATGTAATTCTATATTTGAAGACTATGGTGATCTTGTAACATTAAAATAAATCATGTTTAATTTTTTGTCGCTCAAAATATGCATCACAACCGCTGGTGTGCGACACCCGCCAGCATGTGCAGTGTTGCCAACTTGCTGACTTTCTCGCTAAATCTGGCGACTTTTCAAATCCTCTGGTGACTTTTTTTTTTGTCAAAAGCGACTAGCGACAAATCCAGCCACTCTTTCTGGTGTTATTGGAGACTTTTCTGGTGTTTTGGAGACTCTGATGTGAAAACACGTATCGGTCTGCAATTACTGTCCCTCAGCGAGCAGTGGTGCTGCTGTGAGCTCCTCCCCGTCCCAAAGTGCTCACAGGCGATCAGCAGGACAACCACACGTCGTTTTTACTTTGCTGCAGGTGGATAATTTAAGTTTTATTTCAGATATACAAGGAGGATTCAAATAGACACTGCGTATTTTATTTGAAAGTAACCTTCAACCCAGAATCTTTTTTCCAGAGTTCAAAATGTTTTTGTTGCAGAAATAAAATGTTTTCTCTGTAGCAGTTCATTGATTTCATAAATGCAACACCCGGTAGTTTTTTTTATACATAGCATAAAGGTAAAAAAACAAAACAAAAAAATGATATATGCAGTGTTACCTTCATTTTAGATGTCAAAAGGGTTTTGTGCCTCCAGGTGTTTTGTTTTCTGTGGGAAATGGGTCCCAATGGCTCTTTGAGTGTTTAAGGTTGCCAACCCCTGTGTTAGATAATGCTTTCCTATGACGTATGTAGAGCTCCACCCACCAAGGACAGGCTGAGTCAATCATTTGATTAAACAAAACTTCTGACATCTGAAACAGTTGGCGAGCAAACATTACCACTGGAGCCAAACTCATAATGTCTCAAATTCTGTTTGCAAATCGACCTTTCTCTGGTGTCTGTTCGTCTGTGATCTCCCCAGAGCTTGTTTATTGTTCTGCTATATTTTCAAACCATGAGAGCAGCAGAGAAGTTAAAGTAGTACTCTGATTTAGCCCTGCACTCCTATAACAATCAGGTAAAGTTGTTTTCATTCCACACATCTGGCATTGGCTGAGTCAGCTGCAGATTACTGTCCACAGGTTAAAGTTGAATGCAAGTGTTTCATATTTTAATGAGTAAAATGTGCAGAGACTCACTGGGTGATGTGCACACTCAATACATTTCCTCTCTAGGTCATTTAACATGGCTCACATTTCTTGCACATCGTGATTATTAGTTCATAAATCACTTCCAGTCTGCTGTATTTGTTTCAGACGTGACATTATAAACATCTGAGAAACCAGATGTTACACTTTGGTTGAAAAAAGTGTTTAGTTTCAGTCGGCAGAGAGGGAGGGGAAAGGGTTCATAGTCTTTGCACAAATAGATTGAAGATAAACAGGAAGCAGTACCTGATCCAAAGCCCAAGATGCTCGTCTTCAGTGGGTCCAGATCAAAAGTAAATCTCACAGCTTTACCAAGGTCCTCATCGTATTTACGTTCACTCACAAAGTGCTGCAACAAGAAGAGAGGCAACTAATCATAACCAGCCTGTTTTCAGTAAATTAATAATTTTTTATTTTTTTTTTGGCTTAATGTCACCTTGAAACAGACAACACAATTTTGCTTTCAATTATGCATTACCAATTACCACCTATTTCTCTTTTCATCAGTTTAGTCATAAACTATAGTGAGATACAGACAGACGTTGTTGAAGTGGAGCAGCGGTGCTTGTGTCTTGTGCAGATACCTTGATGTCTGCACGCAGTTCAGTCAGCTGCTCCTCCGACATGGAGGCCGACCGATCCGTCAGCCGCTTGAGCTCCTCCGCTCTCTTCTGCCGGGAGTCCAAAATCACCACTGAAACACAGCAGCAAAAAATATGAACTTTAACAGATGTGAACCAGGTTTATGTGAACACCATTTAAGATTTCATTCTGACCATCTATCCATCATCTATACACCGCTTAATCCTAACTAGGGTCATGGGGGGGCTGGAGTCTATCACAGCTGACTTAGGGCGAAGACAGGAGACACCATGGACAGGTCGCCAGTCTATCACACTTGGAGACAGACAACCAAGCACACTCACATTCACACCTACGGATAATTTAGAATCACCAATTAACCTCAACATGTTTTTGGACTGTGGGAGGAAGCCGGAGAACCCGGAGAGAACCCACGCTGCACAGGGAGGACATGGAGACTCCACGCAGAAAGATCCCGGGTGTCTTCACCGGGATGCGAACCAGCGATCTTCTTGCTGCGAGGCAACAGTGATAACCACCAGGCCACCTTGCAGCCCACATTCTGACCAGTGATGTCCAATTAATTATGAAGTGATTTACTACGTAGTTAAATATCTTCATGTGTTATGTCTTCCACAAGTCTGAAGCCAAACAATAAGTAATTGCTTTAGGATTGGGACAAGACAAACTATAAATTTCATTGTGTTGATTTTTGGGATTTATGACTCTTAAGTGGACAAAATAAATAATGTGTGCATGTCACCGTGAGAGAAATGTTACGCAAGTAGAGTGGAATGATATGGGGGGGAAGAAATTGCAATTATTTTGACATGAGATTATAGTGGGAATTGTATTTTGTATGGTACATTGTTTTTCTTTTTTTTTTCATTTCTTTTTTTAACCAAAACAACAACAAAAAAAAGTCATTTTGCTGCTGTCCATGTCAACCAAGCAGGCACCAATAATGTGATTTGTAGGCCGGTTGAACAGCGCTTTGTATTTATTGTATGTTGTGACACATTTCACCTTTAGTAAAAGATTGAAGCTGTGACTTGGCCATAATGCAATTTCAATCATTATTTTCAAAAAGCTGCAGCCCCAGGAATGCTGGTTGTTAGTTCTACTAGTACTTACAGTCTCATAGCCAGGATGAATGACAATCACCATATTTTGGTTTGTACAAACAATGATTTGCATGAGACAAATCCACATTTATATCGGCTGTATCGCTCACTTCAGGAGAACAAATGGGCGTAACATGAGTTTACACAAATGCAACACAGAAAGGAGATTAGTGGAAGGTAAATTTTGAGGAGACGGGTCTTTTGTATTGATGAAGAAGTACTAGAGTTTCTTTGCTTTCCTCTCAATTCACCACACACCTTGCACAAAGACAGCATTGAGTCTCCCTTGACACCTGACACTATTCACTTTTTCCAGGCCTGGAACACACAACACTGTACACTGAGGGGACAGAATAAGAGAGAATGGCCTACTTGTACAAATATGCAGTCCTGCTCTGTCATGTTACACACTAACAACACACACACACACCACACACAGAGGAATGCTCTAGGTTTATCAGGACCCCAAGGGCACCACTGCAGTTTTGAGGAAACTGGGACTTGCTGTTCCACAACAATCTCTTTTACTACCTGTGGAAGTGATTTAGGTCAGATTTTTCAGGCCCTTGAGTCAGGTGATCATATTATGGGAAGAATACCAGCAGCTCCCAGGTGGTATGTGACAAGCAGAGTTCGGTCTAAAAGCTGAAAAATACAGTACTTACTTGCTTCAGCTTTCACTTTGTCCATCTCTGCCAGTAGAGTCACTTCTCTGTCCATTAAACTAGAAAAAAGAGAGGAGAGGGTTAGTTCTGCTTTTTTCACTCTAAAATAAGAAAAACGATATTGTAACATTAATCAAAAGAGGATGTTGCACAAAAAAAGTTAGTGGGAGACAATGCAAAGGGTCAAAGGAAAATCATGAAAATAATGACAACTGGATAAAAAAAAATAAATAAATAAATCACTTCATCCAATCAGTTTTGGTAAATGAGCTTTCATTAACTCAAGAACATGTTTGTTTATAAAATGTTCAGAAGTAACCAGCAAATGCACAGATTTCCATCAAATAACACAGACTCATTGCTTGTACTGTAAGCGGGCCGACCGTGCTCCCTGTTATGTGTAGTCAACTGCCCCAAAGGTCCACCCTGAGCCAAGAAAAACCCTTGTAGCCTTCTGCAACAATGGTAGCCTTAGCGACAGATGAGCAGTAAGAGCATCATGGGATTTGTAGGTGTTGAACACTAACAAACCAATCTGTCTATTATCTTTGTTGAACTAAGAAAGCAATAAAATGTCTATAAGCCAGTGGGGAGCTCAGAGTGGAGTTAAATGGATATCCTGATCATCAAGTTTCAGCATTTTACTAACTACAGAGAGAGAGAATATAAATGTAAAGAAAACATTTTCTTAGTGTTAAGTGTTTCTCTTAAACCTTGTATTTTTCTGACAAGTTGTAGTTTTGGAGCGGATACAGATGCTCCTTTTCAAAGGCCCAGTTAGAATTAACTCCTGATAATCTACAACCAAATAGCCAGTGAGCAACTTATTAAGCGCAAGCAAACCAAATCAGCAAATTCTCATCTTAACAATCAATAATGTCACCTCATCCTGCTCAATTTTTAATACCTAAACTGGCTCATCTGATATATCCTATTGCTATCTGTAAGCTACTCAGTGAACAAGCTAAAGTGGACAAACCTTTTTTCACTGCACTGGTTTGAAAGCAACAGTCCAAACATACTGCAGTGTGACAAGTAAAGACTATTTCCACTGTTGATTAATCTGTCAACTTTCTTGATCGATTCCTTGTTTGGTCTATAAAATGCTGATCAGTTTCCTAAAGCCCAAAAAGACATCCTCAAATGTGCTTTTTTCTTCACAACCCATAGATATTCAGCATACTCTCACAGAGGAGGAAACAAAGCAGAACATTTTAAGAGGCTGAATTCAGAGAATTATGACTTGAATAAGTCACACAAATCGAGTACACAAATCTATCTCTGTGTATTATTGTTTTTAGTCAATTTTAGGCTTTTTAAAGAAGTCAGTTTTGTAAAATGAATTACATCTTTCAGAAATTAAAGGATACAATTATTTCTACAAGTATATATTTACTAATTCAATATTAAAGACAAACTACTACAATACACGTACTACGGTACGCATAAATGTTCAACGCCTTGCCATTTGAAAGTGCGCTAAATCTTTTTACAGTGCATCTTGTTTCCAGGTAGTCTATAATATTCGTCTTGTTACACCAGAAACTCTGTAAAAACTACAGGAGGTTCAACATATTCAAGAGTCTGTTTCCTATTATGCAAAGCTGTGTCATTAAAAAGGACAAAGGTGAGAAAAATGCCCTCTGTGCTCAATGACCCTATAAAAATGCAGCAACACCTGCACTGCCCTAGTCCAGCCCTTTTCAGTACCATTGTCCCAGAACTTTGGAACCAGAGAACCCGAAATAGAAACGTAAGTCCCTTTTGAAAATTCCTGTTTGTTTTACAACAGCATCGGAAGAACAGGAAGGGTTCTTTAAAGTTTAAAACTAGTTTTCATCCACAAGGACACAACACAGTCCATGTTCTCTTTGTATTTACTGTGGTGTGACTGATGTTTAAGCTGAATGTAATAAATTAGTGAAAAGGAGACATATGCAGACGTGACTGTCAATTAAAGATTTTTATTTCTGCTTTTAAACTAAAACTAGGCTTCTGCTGAGATAAATGTCTTTGTGAACCTTAGACGAAAAATGTAACCTTCCAGATGTGGCCCTCAAGCAGGCTCATCGGTTGATGCAAAATCAGACTTTTTGTCGCACATTTCAGCACAGTGTTGCTACCACAATTGTCTCACAGAGCAAGAGAAATGAAATTCCTCTTCAAGGCACCTAATATGTTCATTCAAGCAGCTCAACAGACTCAGCTGAGAGTTTCAGTCGTTACCTTAAATGAACATGTCATCACATGGTTCACATCCTGAAATATTGTTGAACTGTGACAACTGCATCTGTTGTAGCAATTCTCTGTTTACTTGTAGATATAAAAATGATGCTAAATATATTTATATGCCATTTACATATAAATGATGTAAAATAAAAGCAAAACTCCGTCTCTACCTTTGTCTCATTGTTGTGTTTTGATCTAAAATTTAACATTTGCTTACATGCAGCACTGAGCAGCATAATCCAGCTTTCGAGTGTAACAGCCATGAAACCGTTTCTGTCCTTCTTTTGCCGATGTTCTCAACCACTGATTTGTTTGTGCTCCCATCTCGTTTTCATTTTGACTCTCACACCTTTAAAAATTAGCTGGTTCACCTGAACCTTAAGATCTGAGAATCGCCTTGGGAACTGTTCCGAGTCCCGATCCTCGTTTTACACGTCAGTCGAAAACATTTAAATGCTTTGTTGTTTTTAAATGTTGTAAAGCACTTTGCGTTGTTGTTGTTGTACATGAAAAGCGCTATATAAATAAAATTTGATTGATTGATTGATTGATTGATTGATTTGCGGGTCATTTTGAGTTCCAGCTCAAAATTTTGAACCCGTGAAATGTTTTTGTAGCCGCTGTGGTGACAAATCAGAGTGAGCCCTGTAAACTCACACTGAAACTCTTTCTACACTTCAAACTATTGTATGGGAACTAAGTTTAGTATTAAAGGGTAGAGATTTTCTGATTAAAGGCAGATTTAGCTCATACATTCCTCAAAAGGTTTTTGGTGCCTTGAGAAAATTCTTGCAGTAGCAACAACCTAAAGGGTGTTTTTTTAACCTCACCTTTAAACATGTTCAAGTCCGTCATGTCAAGATTCAGCTATGGCTGTGACTACAGGCACATTGTACAATGAACTGACATTTTTTAAAGAGATAAGTAAGGCTTTACTCTCAAGAAATGAGGATCCTACACACTGCTCTTGCTCAGCATCACAATTTAAAGATAATGCATGATAAATTATGAATTGTGATGCTAAACCAAGAGAAGTGTCCAGGGTCTTTCCTTCTTTAGACTGAAAGTAAATTTGCATACCAGCTCTGGAGCTCAGCAAACGTCAGCTTCATCCTCTTGATTGATGAGTCCATCTCTTCCTTGACCACCATCCTGTAGCGAGTCAGCGAGGCGGTGCATCTCTGCAGGTCCTTCACAGAGCGGTCAATGTTTGAAGCTGAAGTGGAGACATTAAAGGTGACTTAAGCAAGTGTTTCTCTATAACGTCTAATATCTGATCAAAAAACTTAATCCGTAAAGAAGCGCTATGACACATTTTGTGAGGTCAACACCTTTTGTGTTCTTGCTGTAAAGTACATACATGACAAGATCACTAGAAGGATGGGAGGTTGAAGCTTATAGGGAATCCAGATGTTTTGGATTGTTGGGTGTTTCTGTTTCTGCCTTTGTGAAGCGCTATGAGATGACTTGTTGTTGTAAATATGCGCTATACAAATAAAATTGAATTGAATTGAATTGAATTGAAAGTGTCTTACCTATCTTCTTTACTCCTGGTGATCCATGCTCATCATTGGTGGCTGCTAACAAGGAAGTGGGGGGATGTGAGTTCGAGCCTGGTCTGTGTCGGGACTTGTTGCCTCTTGGACCCTGGTGATTCCTCCTTCCCTGCTGGGGAGCAGGACTTGGAGCGCTACATTGACTTTCTGCTTCTGCACCTGTGAGAAGAAAAAAATGACTCTTTTACAAAAATAACTAATTTCTAAACTAACTATCCCTACAAAAAACTGCCTTAAGTATCAATGAGCAAATTGGGTCAGAAGTGAACTATTTGAGGAGAACTCCTTCCTTTCTCTAAATCCAAAAGATTTATAGATTTTATAGATTTAAGATTTACTGCTTTTGTAAAAGTTTCTATTTTGGCATTTACTTCATAGGCCTGGGCAGCTGTGGCTCAAGTGGAGAGAAATATCCACAAATCGCAGGGCTGGTGGTTTGATTTTTGTACTTTCCACATGTTTAAATATCTTTGAATTGAAAGTTGCTCTCAATGGCAGGTGAGCACTCTGCTGCCATTTGGTGTGTGAATGTGAAACAGTGTAAAGCACTTTAAGTACTACTAAGGTAGAAAAGTGCTCTATAAGTGCAGGCCATTCATCATTTTATCAGAGCAGATCACTTTTCAACTGAATTCTGCTGTTCTTCCAAATCACTGAAGAACTTGTTTTGATGTAATAATTTGTGAAAATAAACCTAGCAATTACTGAAAGATTACACAACAATATTATGCTTCTATTTTATTATAAACCTGAAACGTTTGATAGAGTATATACTTTTACTGTAATTGCACAACAGCGTTGTCACTTGTTTTATCTTCATGAATACCACCTGATGCTGCACGCTCTGTCCCCTTTTGTGAGCAAGTTCAATTTACAAAAATGTTGCACAAGACTAAACAAACAGGGTTTTCACACTGTACTGTCTCCTGTAAGGTGAGCGTCCTATTGTTGAAGTCAAAATAAATATTTGTCCAGGAACAGATTTACTTTAAAGGGTAAATAAGTGGCGAGCTTCAGGAACGGATGTTTACATATCCATTCTCTCTGCACTGAAGCCGGTAATTCTCTCCCTCGCATGTCAACCTAAAGCAAGACTGCTGGGCTTTAACATATAAATGAACACCCGTTACATCTTAGCCAAACTAGTTTACACAATGCTAATTAAGCCCATCAGTGATAGGTAAATATCTCTGTGTTTCACAGTATAGCAGAGATTTAAATCGGGTGTCTATAGTGACATTCCTATGGTGGCGCAATAGGAGCAATGCTTCCATCAACCAGTGATGACAGGAACTGAACACGAGAGCATCAAAAGTGGTTGTGTATTTACCCTAACTGCCAGAGGAGGGACACAGAAATTCTCCACTGCAGGTTTAAACTTAAAAATTCAACACTTCCTCAAACCCTCTTGCTTCCTCCATTGGCTTAATCATCACATTTTTGCTGCATTTACCGGTGGTTTCGGATGTAGCAGGTTCAGAGTCCAGCTCAGCTGCATCCAGGGAGGCAGAGTCCAACTGTTCACTCAGCGAATCAAGTGATTCTCCATCCATTACTGATCCGTTGGCATGAAAGCCGTTCATCTCATCCTTGCTCTCCTCGGGCGATGTGGCCTCAGGTGGAGAGGGCTCAGCCGAGGCCTCTGGCTGAGGCTTGGGCTTCTTTTTCTTCTTGGGCTGGACATGGAGATATCAGTGTCAAACTCCTTTGTTCAAATCCTCTTTGTTCATTATCTCTATCCTAATCAGTGCTGTGACATGAACCAATTCAATGCATACTGGGACAGGCAAGTTTTGACTTATACTTAAGGTCATATTAGATTTTAGCAACATACAACACTGCATTTAACCACAGTTTATAATTAATGGAGGGTACTTTAATCATAAACAAGTTCAACAATTAGTTTTAAATAAGAACTTAACTGAACAAAAAGACATTTAAGAAGCAGGGTTTCTGGTTCTCACCTTCTTTTTTCCGGTGACATTCCACTCCTTCAGGATCTCAACCGCACTGCCTAAGGTGTAAACCACACAATGATGATGAATGTACTCTGTGACACGTGAAGGATTTAAAACCTTGTAATAACGTCTCAATATCTGAATGCCCTGGGGTGTTGTTTAGATACCGCTGAATAAGGAACAAAGCAGTCTGACGTACAGGGACAACCCTCATGTTCTATAATTATACCCGCGAAACTAAAAGCATGCAAATGACGCTCGACTTTTGAATGCGAAGTATGGCATGCATGATGAAAACGCTGTTCTCAAGGTGAAGGACAAAGAAATGAGCGTTGCATGCCACAACAAGTTAAATGCAGTAAACTAACAGGGTAGCGTTGGAAATATAAGTGGAATTCTAGTGGAGGAAAGACATTAAGAAGCATTGCAAAATGCCAGAACTTCTCTTCAGAAGGTGTAAATGCAACACTGTGATGGGAAGATTCTGTAATCACAGCAAAGTTCAGAGCTTTGAGTTCAAACACCAACATCCTCATACCGTCTAAGAAAGCCTGCACAGCCTTATCAACGCAGTTCTCAAAATGCTGTAGCACCAGCACAATCTCATTGTTGCTTTTGTTGGGGACCACTGCCCTGACAGCGCTGATCTGTGAAGGAGAAGAAGCAAAAATAACACACAAGGTGATTCAATATTTACTGTAAATTTACGCCGATGGTGGATAAACATTAAAGTAACAGTCAGCTGGAGCACAAGGAGTACACATTTATTCTTATTGTTGCACTACTAAGTGAAATCACACAAAAGTTTTTAAAGGCTTTTTTGCAGCAAAAGACACAAACATAAAGTAGCACATTTGATGCAAATAACATTTTTAACAATACAGTGCAACATTTGTACCTTTTAGTTATTTTCAAGAAGCACTCAACTTTCATAAATGTTTCTAAGGTACAAAATATTTTCTCGCAAGCCATGTTTCATGCAAATTTGAAGTGACATTTTGAAACATAAAAGAAAAAAAAATGAAAAGAGAATGAACTGGCTGCGTAGTGTCGTCAGAAGGTAACAGCACTGGCACCGTTCCACATGGCCGTGATAAACAGTAGCAGAAGCCGGAATCAAAGTCAGCTCTTTGCCAACAACTAAAAACCTCAAAGATAAAGAAGAAACAAACAAAACTTTTGCTACATATGAGGAGGAAAAAATGAAGTAACCCCTCCAAAAATTGCTTTCAATCGTGAAAGCTGTGATTATTCTTTCATGTCAACAGCTGATCAGTCATGTGACTTAAAAGTCTGCCACATTAGATGCTTTTTTTTCTGAAAAAGTGTTTTCATCTATATTTTTCACCCTGTATCTCTTTTTTTTTTTTAAAGTCAAAAAATATCTCAAGCTGAAACTTTTTGCAAAATTGGGGTCGGTTTATTAGCAGTAATGGCTCACAAATATTTCATCCTTTAAAGGAACCCCAGAAAAAAACCTGAAGTCAACACCAAAAAGCCAAATAACCTGCTGTAAAAACATTACCACACTGCAGAACAACGCTATGCTGCCCTATTTTCTCAAGTTCTTCCATTATAGATAAACAGCTTTAAAGAGGCTCGCTGTCATGAGATTATATAACGATAAATCTCAAGTAAAGTCATCTTTCAAGGGTTTAAAGATGCCTAATTTTTTGAGCTGTTGACTCTCTCCATAACTGTCAGACATTGATAAATCAAGGCTCGCTCTACACATTTTTCCTTCAGCAAAACTCCAACTGTTGCTCATGCTCTGACAACTTGCCCTCTCATGTTGACCGTTGCCAGAAAGCATCTCTCCAGAAAACTGCTGTGCAGAGCTCATAGTTAATGACACTGAATGCCAAATGGCTTAGTAGTGTCCAACTTTGGGAAGCAGGTTAGAAGCCAATCACAAATTTTGTGATTTGATGTTTCAAATTCAGCCCTGTACTGCAAAATGACAGCGGCAGTCATGTGCATTGTAAAAAAAAACATCTTACCTTCTCCTTCATCCTCTCGGCTGTTCCTCCCTGGGACATGACCATTTTTGAGCGAGTATCAAACACCACCCCAGATGTATCTGGAAAAATAAAGTGAAAACTAAACTCCACCCTTGTCTGTTCATGCCTCAGAGCATATTTGCAAACCAAGGCAGAATCTCATTTGCAAAACAAAACAACAAATCACACATCTTCACAAAGTGTCCCTCTGTTGTTGCCGTCGTCTATGAATCCCAATCAAACTACAACAGCAGATCTGTGCCTGTGAATGTGACACATGAATGACAAGTTCATCTTCATTAGCAAATTAAAGGAAATTATCTGCCCTATTTGATCATTCAAAAATGGATTTGTTTCCTGGATACAAACACACAACATGAAAAGGTAGATGCCAGCAGAATGAGAGTACGGTGAAGGTGGAAGGACGTGTTACTGAGGTATTTAAGCACAACCACTTCAGCTGCCAGCACGAACAGCAAGCACTTAAAACCTCATCACATGTGCCTAAAGCTGTGTAGAATCTGCATCTGATTTAAATGACTAACAGCCGATGAAGGCCTCCAAAAAGACGTTCTTGCAAGAGGAACTACCTCAGGGTTTCTCTTATCAGGGGCAGAACAAAAGTGGCCCATTGAGGAAACAGCTGAGTCAAGGTGTTTAAAAAAAATCTTTTTCTACAAATGTCAGAGGACATTTATCTTTACAATGACAAACAAAAGCCTACAGCTGAGCATGACGAGTCAGAGTAAAGTCCAAAGTCAACCTATGGCCAATTAAAGACCAGGAAGAAAAAAAACTGCTGAGTCCTTGTAAAGGTTGTTTTTCTCATGTATGAAAGTAGGTTAATGTCACCGTAAATATCCACGGCTCAAATTCACTGTTACACCATGCTTGGAATATTAGGACAGCTCCATTAGATTCCAGCTAAACACAACTATGAACACATTTTTTGTTAAATAATATACAACTATGTCCTACCTATAACTTCAACCTTCTTCACTTACAGCCTCTGTGTTTGTCCACTAAACAGATGTACTACAAAGTATAGATGTATAAATAGCAAATGTATTTTAAAGGTTTAATAAACAAATACATACCCCTTTGGCTGTTTTTCTTTGCCATGATGTCGCACAGAAGTATCCACTCTGCTGTATACTGCAATATTACCCTTTGAATATATTTAGGCTGGTGTTCAAATAAAGGCTCCAAGTCTGGTAGCTTTCAGTTTGAGTTTTTCTTGCTGGAGAAAATGCCAACAAGGCTCACAACTGGCAAGAGTGCTGGAAGAACGAGGTTCAGATCCAGGACTTCACCATTTAGGCAAATCTGGGTTTTCCCCCTTTTTCCCCTCTCACCAAGTTGATCCAAATCTGTGGGGGGAAAAGTAAAAAACGAAACTCAGCTGTGTTGCAAGAACTAGTGATTAAATACTGTTTTAGGCTTGTAAGTAAAGGGAAGAGAAAAAAAGACATTAAAAAGGTAACTGTAGTCATGTGTACAAAGTGAAATGCACAAACACTAAACCTCCACTTTTGTAAGAGCTGAAAAAAAAATGCATATGAAATGAAATCCATTTCCTCTGGCAATAAAATATGAATGAAAAACAGATTTCAATAAATTATTGTCTGTCTGGTGGAGCATTCTCGAAAAAAAAATCTGTACTTAATATTGTCCTTGGCAGAAACACTGCATTTAGTTTGGAGGAAAAAGTTAGCAGGGCTACAGAGTAACACATCTTTGAAGGGTATTTCCTCTTTTTCAGTCCTCTGCAGGAGTGGTGGGTGATAATGACACAAAGGCAACACAGAATATTGACCACGTCTTTGCGGTCTGGGCCTTTTCAACGGGCCGTTGACGACTGCAAACACTTGAAAAACTGATTGTATGCTTTTTGCATGACCAAAACGATCCTCAAATATTTAGGGTTTTTCTGCAGCCGAACTTAAAACTGATGACACACATGGTTATTTGATTGCGTCAGCATTGCGTCTGAAATAAAAACTTTTGGCCGTTTGACACTGCTTTGCTGCAATGTGCTTTTAATTTTACACCATTCACCGTGCGATGCTGTAAATTAAACAGCAAACTGGATACAGTGGAAGTCTGACATCACAGTATTTGAACACAAAAAATATTAAACTTCATAGCAACATTTTTTGCTGAATTATATTCAGAATTACAGCAAAATCTGAAAATCTCTAAAACATTAGAGAAAGTTACACTCTCGTCCTGTTTGGTTGAATCATATCTATTTTAGTCTTAGAAATGCTTCAAGCAGACCTTCAGCTATCTGGACTCGACTTTACTGGCCAGCTGTTTCCCCCATTTAACTTTTCGTTTCTGATCCCACTTTTCTGGAAAGAGAAACTTAAAAGGCTGTACAAACCCACACCCTCTTGATTAGGACTTGGCACACCACAGTCATGGTTCCGCCACACCTCTACAGACGTCAAAGGAGCATTAGCACAATCAACAAGTGACACTGCAGCTTCCACTCATGCAAACACTAGGATGCATAATGTTTATCAAGAGGGATGGTGCTTGAATCTTCAAGAGAGCCAGGTGCACTTGTGCTCAAAAATTCTCAAGTGGTGACCAAAAAGTTGGTCCAAATTGAATGACTTTACAACTTCAACAAAGGTGACACATGCACGAGAAAACACTCAATGGCTTTAGTCACAACCACAACCTACATACTGTCAAACAAGTCTCCAGGTTCAGTGGAGGATAAGTTTAAGGGTAATTGGACAATACTTCTCAGCACCGCTATGGAATAATTTTGTCTTCTGTCAGAGAGGCCAATTTTCACAGTCAATCAATCATGTCAGTCAGACTAGAAACCGGCGTATCCCTAATTAAAAGAGGAACTCTTAAGTGTAACTAGCTAATCAGACTGAAATCCCTGTCTTGTCTTACTGCAGCTTAGCTAGCATCTTGCGTTATATTCTATTCAGCAATTTGGCCTGCTGTAGAAGCCAAAGTAGCTTCTACATTTTACTCGAAGACAGCTGTCCAAAGTCAGAAAATAACCGGATCTTTTGTGAAAGGAGCTCCACCACCATCAAATGGCCAACTTGGCGTTAATGTCAGCTAAATAAGGCAGTCTGCTGAGCGGTGTGTGAATTTAGCTGATTATGAAATAAAACGGCATTAAACGTTAGCGTCTCTCACATTTACACATTTTGCAAACTTGTACCTAAACCTTACTTGCACTACTTGCACAATAGAGTCTCAGGTTCAGACCTTCATCAGAGAGCAGCTCGGTTCACGTATTTGGCTGAAGTCCGGAGGTTACGTTACCGTTAGCGTGCTAACATTACCTAACGTGATATGATTAGCTTTGCGAGGCTAAACCTTCCTGAGCGCAGTGATTTATCAATGCCGTTGAAATCTCAAAGCAACGCCAGCAGTGACCAAACGCAGCACAAAGTGTAGATGCCTTCGTCCTGGACGGACCTTTGAATGCAGCTCTAGCTAACGTTAGCGCGCAGCTAGCGCACTGCTGGTATCAGTGCTGTGCGGCTAGCATCCCTTAGCTGCTCAACTTTGGCGTTCAATAGCGAAGCTGCAATTAAAGCGTTTGTGTTATATTCCGATAAGACGTCTGCTGTGTTGGTAGAAGAAAGCAAATAAATACGTACTTGATGTTGGCAGCAAACTGCTCTGTAGATTCTGGAAGCGGGTTACCGCAGCTCCTACCGCCAGCCGTCTTTAATGCCAAGTAGTCTGCTGTGGGCAATATTTTCCTCGACCGGACTCCCGTAGGGTTGCCAGGTTGGATTCAACGAACCCCCTTTTTAATACATTAAAAAAAAAGCTCAAGTTTTCCGGCGCCGCAAAAACACCGAACAATTGAATTTAGTGCAGCCTCAGTGGACTCTCTTCTTATTCTATTATAGTGACAATTGGTCAAATGAGACACTTTCTTTATACAGTTTTCATTTTTCCCCCTAATGTTTGATTTTTGGTGAATTATTGGGTCATTTGAACATTTATTAAAATTAAACCATATGAGAAGCTTAGAGGAAAATAAAAAAAAATACTATTACTAAACGCTGGCTATGTTATAAATTATGTCAATTTTTTTTTTAAAGTTAATCAGTAACTAAAATTGACCAATAAATGTAGGGGAGTAAAAAGTGAAAAATTTCTCTCTGGTGGAGTGGAGGTGTAATTTAGTATAAAATTGAAATCCTCAAGTAAAGTACATGTAGCTCAAAACTGCACTTTAGTACTTGAGTAAATGTATTTTGCTACTCTCCCCATTTTAAGGCTTATTGCTTTTATAAAAAGTCAGTAACACACTATTAGGTCTGAGCCCTTTCATTACTCCTTCACGAGGCCCTTACTGAGCATGCTCACATGATTGCATAGTTCTGCAGGTGCAAGCAGTTTTTTTTTACTAAGCTTGGGAAATCCAGTTTTACTCCCTGTGCACTTGCAACGTGGAATAACAGGCAGAACAATCTAAACCTGAAGTCATTTTTACCCTTGGGTGTCTCAGGTTTTGAATTTCATCTCATTTTACTTCCGGCTGTTTTGGTTCATCCATTTGTTTTTAGATTTTACATGCTTTAAATGAATGTTTTATTGTTTTACTAACTTTTTCTTTCAATATTTTGGGTTATTGTCATCCAAATGTCTTACATTTATTATGTCTCAACAGACTTCAGTCGAATTTCTCAGCACAATGTATTTCCTGTGTGTTGCTCTCAGAGTGACAGTCTGTCAAACATTTCATACCTATCGACATACTGTACGTATAACAAAAATGTATGTCAACATTTGAACTTGCACTGCAGGCAGCTGGAGAAGCACTCACTCATCACTTGGGACTGCAAGTATATATATATATATAAAAAATACATTTAAAAAAAAAACAAACACACCCACATATTTTTTTGAGTGCATGTGTTTCAAATCCTGTTTTTTTTTTTTAATTTATTTTTTTATGAATGTTGTCACATCAGCATAAATATTCAACTTGCACACTTTGTTGTGAAAAAAAATGCATTAGTTAGTGGCTAACATCTTACAATACTGGGTTTATGTATGCATTTTTATATAAAAAGCAATCATATGCAACAATGAAATGAAAACAGAGACCCAGACCCCAGAGGATTAGTTCTTTGGTGGAAAAGTGCGTACAGTCCCAATATTCCTCACACTACTGTTTGCATACATATACCGTATTCATAAAAGTCCATTAAATGTCACATGAAGCATTGCATATTAGTTGAGGAGTCAATTCCAAATTGATGTTACTTTTTGCTTCACATATTTTAAAAGAAAATATATATTTTTAAACTCATATATGATAGATATCGTGTGTATTATATAAATTTTGCTGATTGTTTTGCTGATTCAAGTAAAATAAATCTGAGATTGCTGAGAATCTTCTGCATCGATAACAAACCTACTCTTTGTTTCCACGATTTCTGCTTCTTTACTTTTCCTTCCCTCAGGTGCTTAAATATGGTTTTGGTTACCCTTTTTGCATACAAGTATTTATAGGGCGTAACACACTTTGACACATGCACACAAACATAGACTCTGCTGACGCACACAGAAAACCCCCTCATGATCTCTGCTTCCTTCCTTTTATCTGTTAGTACCACTGTGATTGTTCTTCGTGTTGTGCTCAACCTGAATGTCACTGCTGCACCACTGCCGGGTTCACCACTAACAGCTGAACGAATATATCATTTTTTATAGTAGCTGAAGAATTAATGTAGACATGCCTGCCTCCATATAGTAGGAAAACATAATTGAATGAATACACATTTACAGTTGTATCTGTTTAGTTTTGTTTGTTTGCATTAGCTGTAATTAATATTATTTTTACCTAACAGTTCAGCATCTAGATACTATTTCACTGTGTGATAAAATAACACAGGTCAACACAAAATCTAAATGTCAAAAATACCACATGTGAACACACAAAGACAATCGCTGGTGTCATGTCAAGGAGAACATCAGGTCACATGGTGGCCTTTTCATTTGCTAAAAAGTCTCAAGAAGGTCCATTCATGATCTTTAAAACCTGGGAGGATTTATCTCCTGAAGCATGTCAGATATGGTGCATACCACAGAAAAAACATTAAAAGACTAAAAAAACAGACACACAACCATTGAAGATGCTTAAGTTTCCTGTTTCTAGTAATGTGATTGTCCTTTCTGACAAAACCAAGAAGTCCAGTACAACAGTCCCGTGCACATGTCTTGTCGATGGCTGACACTTTGGGTGCCACACAGCTAGATTATGTTCATGTTTGTCAGATATGAAATGTAAGAAGTGGTATGGATCAATACATTATTGAATATGTTGTCTGGCCAACAATTATTCCCCAATTTGGTGAAACTGACAAAGATCTGTAACTGTTTTCAGAGGATGTGTAGTAAATTATGACTGCTCTTCTCATTATTAGATAAGAAGTATTTTTTGTTTTACCTAATCCAGCAGAAAAGCTCTTCTTGAAAAATGACAAAACAGTTGCAGATTAATTTCCTGTCAATCAATTAAGTTATTAATCAGCTAATAGTTGCAGCTGTGGCTTGTACAATAACAATGATCCAATAATGTAGTGACGTTTGTAGATAATGGGGACTTTTAGTTGGATAAATCCTGCAAATACTCCGATAAATTGAACTGGGTCAGTAAATGTTACTGTGCGGAAAATGCTGATTTTCCTTGGTCGAACGACGTAGAATGACGATGATGACCCTCCAAACCTGGCAACCCGCGATCCACGTCGTCATTTCCGAAGTCGAAGAACAGGGTTCGCTCGGTTTGCCGCCTCGCACCGCCCGCCACCGTTTTCACCAGCCGTCCGCAGGTGCTGCCATGACAGTTCTCACCTCGAGTGAAGGAACAACTTTAAAGCAAATGTTGCAGAAGCTGTAGCTGTGCTGTTGTGTGGGATCGAAGTGAGTGAGGGGCCGTTTGGGGACCCAGATACCGACCGAGTGCGGGGAGCGGAGCAGCACAATACACCAAAATGGCAACCCCCTATGTTACAGATGAATCTGGTAAGGCTGATGCATGTGGCAGACCTTTGTCTTCCCTTAAACTAAATCTTCTTCAATAACCACAACAGCTACAGTTGATGCACAGCCGGCTTTCTTCCATTTGCAGCATTAATTGTCAGTAATAGCACGTTTAGCGTCAATGGTGATTCAGATTTTGTGTATAGCAGCTAGCTAATGCTATTAGCTCAAACGGCTAACGCTATACTCTCCACTGCCGCTAGTTAGCTTGTTGCATTTGCACTTCTTTCGTTCTCAGTTTGAAAACAGTGCTTAGTATGACCTGCTGCCACCAGGACCACATTCCTACTGTTAGATATGCAACTGTGAGGCTGTCTAAGTGTTAGTCTGAAACATTACCTCTTCGTATATTGACCTGTCAGCTGCCCCATTAGCTAACTACTTAGCATTCCGGTGGTAAATGTGAGGGAAGCTAATGTGACGTTACAGACTCATGTTGTCACAGATGATACTGACAGAAAACAAATAATTAAAAAAGAAAAAAAAAACTATCACGATATTGTAGGGCTGCGGCTAATACTGTTTTTTTCTTATTACTGATTAATAGTTTTTCTATTTTTTTTAATGCCAGAAAATGGTGGGAAAAGTCCTCCATCCATACTATCCCACAGGACGAGGTGGCAACTTCAGCTGTCTTGTTTGGTCCATAACTTGAAATATATTTAACTAAGTATTTTACTTTTGTTTGTTTGTTTTAAAGAGATGAACAGTTATGGTTTATGCTGGGCTGTGCCTTATTTAAAAAACAAACAAACAAAACTGTCAACAAATTGTAGTTTTTCTGTGATCCTATGTCGATATATGGGGGAAAAAAAACAGGAATTTTCACCAGATGACTACATTCAGCAAAAAATCACTCTAAAGTGAATCCTGTGATCCTACAAGGGAGTGCATGAGCTTCAAGAACAAAAAAAATAATCATCTAAAGACAGCTGAAAAAGCCATTTTGAGCATTTCTCGTGTGGAGTAAAACTGGCTCTTGATGGCTTTTAGATCAGGCTTGTATTCATCATTCAGATCATTGTGGTGCTGACTTTCATAGTCAAACCAATCTGGTATATGGCCTTGTTTAGCGGCAACATGTGTGAGATGCTGCCAACCTGTTTTTGATCTACATCAGCCTTTCTGTAGCTTATTTATTTCCATACACTAATGTTGCATTTCTTTTTGCAGCCAAATTTTCCTTTTCAGTGTTCCTTCCTGTTTCTCACTCATTTTGCTGTGCACCCAGGTTGCCAGAATGTCAACAAACTCTGTGTCTTGTAAATAAAGCTTAGCAGAATATCTTTGTATTGAGGGACCCTGAAATTGAAGTAACTTATATTCTTTCGGACACACTTTTCTTGTAGGTCAGTCATGAACAATGAGAGTTGTGCAAGTCTTTCTTTAAGTAATAATCCCCCAAAAAGCTGTAGCATGATGTGTTTGAGTTAGCTTGTCTTGCTCCACATTGGACTTTCTGTGATATGACTGTTATGCAAGTACGAATGACAGTTCCGATGTTGAAACAATATGTAGTGCAGCCCTGGGTTACATGATGAAGTTGTACGCGTTTGTTTTTGCTTTCAGATAACTTAGGCTGAGTTGAGAAATAAATAGTAGCGTTTGCTTGTCATGTGGTTTAATATGATAGTCAAGCATGTAAAGACATTACTGATCATTCACATACCAGAAAAAGGCTGAAGCTTCCTGTAACTTTTTAAAGAAAGTAAGTCTCAGAGAGGACAAGCAGGAGTAGGTATAAAGTCCTCCCATCATTTTAATAGCTCACCTGGTAATATTCATGGAACATTTTGTGGAAAATCAATTAAGAAACTTCCATCCATCCATCCATTATCTATACACCGCTTAATCCTCATTAGGGTCGCGGGGGGGCTGGAGCCTATCCCAGCTGACTCAGGGTGAAGGCAGGGGACACCCTGGACAGGTCACCAGTCTATCACAGGGCCACACTTAGAGACAGACAACCAAGCACACTCACATTCACACCTACAGACAATTTAGAACAATTAAGAAACTTGTGTTTCGCTTGTTTAAGAAAGTGTTTTTTTCTGAGCAATCCAGCAAATTAAACACCTGGCGAACCAAGGTACTTCAAGGTCAAGTCTTATAATGCCATAAGTTGACTTGCGCAATGACATTCAACCCACGTCAGACATTAGACGACACGAACCAGTATTTACAGCATCACACATGTAATGTACACAATGCAAAAATTAAATGCAAATGTAAAACTGACATACAACTGGACTGGTTATTGGTTTGCAGTACTGACTTCAGTGGTCTAATGGTTCCAAACCCTTTTGGCATGATTAGTTTTTTTTAAATGACAAAGTGTTTACTTGAAGACTTTCATCATATGTGTCCGTGGTGAGCAGTTCGACTTCAGAGTTTTCTTTTTACTTTCAAGTTTGCTGATTTGGATACTGTCCGGAGTCCTCAAGAGGTTTGAGGATGTCATAAAAAGACTAAGATTAAACAGTAGACATAGTATGTGTGGTGAAATTATTATTTATTATTTCCTGCTCCATCTCATGACCACTGACTCCAAGGTAGGATAGTTACATCCCACCATGTTTTATTTTGTCTCATGTCTCATCTTCACCATGTAAATATATATATATTCTCCAGTAATCAGATTTTCATTATACCTAGCATCACATATTCTTGGTGTTGTGTCTGTGTCTTTTCCAGCTGTTATACATCTTTTCTTCTTTTTTGCTGTGCCTAAATGTGCTCTAGGTTTTCAGGTTTTAGATGACTGTGTTTAATCAGCGCATTAGCATCTTTTCGATTGTGCCACAACATGATTTAAACTCAACATGCACAGTGACATCTGGTGGTTTGCAGAACTTATAGCTGCACTGTAACACCTCACTGGTTTTATAGTTTGTCTCATGTGTGCAATAAAACTCCAAGAAGCCTATGGGTTATTTATTAAATCTATAATATGCTTGTCCAGAAGCAGAGGCACATATTACTGTGCCATACGCTACCAGGGAAAAAAAAAACAAACTAATAAATGCCATGCGCAGTGTAAATATTTTTGTTGACAAGATATATTAATGTACCTTACTGGTGTGATATAGGCCTCATTCCCTCTGTGTTACATTTATAGGTCTCACAGTGAAATGTGGAGGATTGTATCCAGCGAAATCTTATTTTCATTTTACTGTTATATCAGGTTCCTCCCACACAGTCCAAAAACGTGTTGAGGTTAATTGGTGATTCTAAATTGTCCATAGGTGTGAATGTGAGTGTGCTTGGTTGTCTGTCTCTAAGTGTAGCCCTGTGATGGACTGGTGACCTGTCCAGGGTGTCCCCTGCCTTCACCCTAAGTCAGCTGGGATAGACTCCAGCCCCCCCGCAACCCTAGTGAGGATTAAGCAGTGTATAGATAATGGATGGATGGATGGATGTTATATCAGGAACATATTTGGTGGTGATGTTTGTCGATCATTCTCTTCTCTTAGCATACAGTTTAGCTACAGAACTTTCCAGCTCAGGAATGTTTCAGGTTGACCATTAATTTAACAAATAGGTAAAATAATGTCACAAAGGTCCACTCTCAGGTAACAAAAACATTTCAGCCACTAAGTGCAATCTTCTGTTTTAAAATGCATCAACATTACCTTTTCATACCTCAGTTTGACAAAATAGTAGAAGTCCAGCATGTAAAGAACTCGCTCTTTCTCAAGGTCTGCTCATGCAAAGGTGTCTGTTCTCTCTAAAATGTTCTACCTGTCCCTCTTCAGGGAAATACATTGCTGCCACTCAGCGACCTGATGGAACGTGGAGGAAGCCGAGGCGGGTGAAGGATGGTTATGTCCCCCAAGAAGAAGTCCCTGTGTAAGTGCACTTTTACTTTCCCTGCAACTGTACGGTTTGGCATTAGTGGAATTAGAATGGGCCAATATGTAGTGACTCGAAACCAGCAGAGCCCCAGTTCATTTCCTTGAAGGCTGGACCATTTGGTGTTTGTCACTGTGCTGATCTCTCGCTACTCCGTGCAGTCAAATAAAGACAAAAAGTCACAAAAACAAATCTTTTTAGAAAGATTGGGCCAGTATTCATATGAAATCAATAATATGCTGCAAGTAGAATGTGTTTGTCATTTAAGTGGTGTTTTTGTTGTTTTAGGTATGAAAACAAGTATGTTAAGTTTTTCAAGAGCAAACCAGACCTGCCCCCTGGCCTGAACCCATCCGAAGCAGCTCCGCCAAAGCAGCAGCAGCAGCAACAGCAGCAAAAGATCCCTGGCTGCGGCGACAGCGAGACAGCCGGTCTCTCAAAGTCTGCCAAGCGCAACATGAAGCGCAAAGAAAAACGAAAACAGCAGCACCAGGGCCAAGATGGCGATGCAGACGTGGAATCGGTGAGCGATGCTGTCGAGAACGTGTCCATTTCAGAGGGCGGCGAGGCGGCAAACAAGACGCCACCGCCACCAGTTTCTGTTTCGTCTCCTGATGACTCTTCAGCAGCAGCTGCTGAAAAGGCCAAGAAGATCAAAAACCTGAGAAAGAAGCTGCGACAAGTTGAGGAGTTGCAACAGAAAGTAGACTCAGGGGAAATAAAGCAGCCAACAAAGGATCAGCTGGAGAAGCTCGGTCGGGCGAAGGCCTTACGAGATGAGTTACAGCAGCTGGAGCAGGAATCTTGAAGCAATAAAGGACAGACTGAACATAAAACTAGAGGACCTTTGCAGCTTTGTGATCATAGCTTCCATTTAACATATTCTACCTATTTGATATTCATTATGAACTTTGGAAGCAAACACAGTCCCAGCAGCCGTCAATCCGAGAACAACAGGACAGGCACCACACCTTCACAACGGACAAACCTGTTTCCTAGGTACAGATGTCTAAATAGCATTGTGACTCCTGATCATGTTCTTGTATTGGCCTGGCCAGTCATTTATAAATATCTTTTAAACAGATCATTGTGACTTGTTTTGTGCACGTCTGTTCTTCCCATTTTGAACGTTTCGTATCATCACCAAACACAAAAAAAAGAAAAGAAAAAAAAAGCATTTTCTGTTGAGGAGAGTATAGTTTGTTGACCTGTCTACTTTAGGAATTAACATTTTTTGTCGAAGGTTAGAAGATTAGGCAGCCTCTTGTCGTCACACTAATGTTGAGTCTACACAGTCATGACATTTATTAAAATACACATTGTATAAAGAGTTTATCTCATTGTTTTTTAGTAAAAACTTGCTCAGTAGAGTGGATGACTGGGACATTTGTTTGGATGGTGGGACATAAATTCTTAGAAAAACAAATATATTTTGGAAACAGTTTATATGTGCAGAAGATAAGGCTGGCGATATCCTGTAATTTCCTTTTTTGTCGATCCCTTGAAGAAAACGGTGAACTGATCCTACTAACAAGTATTACCTGTGTAGCTGAAGCCTTATTTAGTCTATTCTTCTGTGCCATAGAGCTCCATTGTTGTTCAAAAACTATTAAAAACACACAAAAGATCTACATCGTTGACATGGTCCTTTACTACAACCAACATGGGCACTGTGATTTGTTGGAATAGAGTCTCGCATACACTATCATGCTGCTTTAACTGCTCACCAGTAAACCAAATGTATATTCATCCGCAACTGCAACTAGGCTTCAACAAATGGACTCTTTACTCCATTTAGAGTTTGTTGAGAACCAGATCCTCGTAGCTATTTTTGGGACGACTGAGCTGTTTCAAAAGTCAAGGTAAACATCTGTGGCCTGTTTTTAAAAGGTTTGCATTTTGAGTAAGAACAAGAAGTATAATAGAAACAAGCAGATGCCTTAAAGATATCAAATATATCTTTTCTGCTCAGTTCAGCAATGGGTTGTTCTGAAATTAATCACTTTTTGTAAGACAGCTTCAAGACGTCAGGAGTTTTGCCCTGAGTTCAGCCTGTCAGGCATCACTTAAAGGACCAGTACAGCAATTTAGTCCTGCGCTTCAGTGAGGATGAGATTTTGGAAGCACACTGTGCTCACAAAAGACAAAAATGTGGAGACCCTTTATGTTGTAATTATACTTACTATGTGCATAGGAATAGTTACTCAGATTATGAAACTGCGTTGTCCTTGAATATGAGCTTAAATGTCAATTTAAGTGTTTTTTTTTCTCAGTAAGTCTTGGCTAAAGAGAGTTACACTGTGATCAGAGCCTTGTTTTTTTTAACATTGTACTTCTTAGCATGTTGGAAGATTAAGTATGACAAATAGACTTTTAACAGTTTCTTGTTGCTGTGATGAACTCACAACTATCACTAAATTACTGTGGTAGCACAGAAATCCTGAAAGTCTGACACTTTTAAGGCAAGTTCTGAAGCATTCTCACTTATATCGTGCACTATTTTTGTAATTACAAGTAGTTTTCACATATTTATCAGATATGTTCATGTAATTAATAAGGTTGTTGTAAATACAACCTACTATGCAGTTATTTAATTCACTTTGTTGTCAGCTTATACTTAAATTCTATCCACATCCTTAAAGCAAACTTGATCAAAGATGTAAATGAACAGTTACTAACACAATTCACGTGTGTTTACACCAGAACTGAAAAATATAATAGCATATTTAGTCATTTTTCAGCTTTTTGTCCCCTTGTTGTAACAGTCTGATCTGCTAGAAATGTATTCTCGAAGTCCTCATGAGAATAGTCCAAAAAACATCAACAGTGAGCGTCTGTTTAATGCTTTAATGCTGAGTCTGGTTTGAACATCATATACTGATTGTACACAGTGTAGATTTAAGAGCTCAAGTGGAAGGAAACTGGACGTTCTTAAAAATCTCATGCGTGACACTTCTTCAGTTCTGACTGGTGGTGAATTTCTGGTATTTACTATCGCCTCAACTCACACGACCTTTGGCTTGTCAGTTACCTGAAAGCCACAAGATTTAAGGCCTGTGAACGACTCAGGACTGACATGAGTCCAGGTGTAAATTGTAGCGAAACTGCCTCAGGACTGCATTCTATGTGACTGATAAGTGGTGCTGCTGACCACCTCCCCTGTTCAGAGACAGCTATTCCAGTTTAACATAGAGGATTTCTGTCACTATTCTCTTTGAAAAGACTGTAAACCTTGCCGTCCTTAAAGGAATGTCCTTTATCCTTTAGATGTAGGTGGACTGCAGAGTCTTGTCCTGAGAAGATGGCTCTTCTGTGTGGCTTCATACGCCAGTTTTCAGTCTGCCTTATATATCTATAGGTCTGTGCACTCCTCGCTGCGTTGCTCGCATACACAACATTGTCCAGCTTGTGTTTGGGTGTTTTATCCTCAAGGTGAAACAGTTTTTATCTCAGAGTGAAAGGTGACAAAACGAGGTAAGAGGTGAAAGGTCAAGAACCATAATAAAGTCTGGTTACCTCCTACTGAAGCATTTAGGATTACATCACCTGGATGACTGATCTCTACAGACAGTATGTGTTCATCAGTATGGTATGCTGTTTTTTGTTTAGTTTTTTAGTTTTTTACATAAACTGCAACTTTAGAATTCCTATGCTAAATACTCATTACAAAAAAAGCAAAATAATCCTCTAGATATTTCAGTTTTTATCTCCTGATGTCTTTCTGGAGCTGGTTTACCGCTCAATATATCCAGTGCAGTTCGATTTCATTTCAGATTTTTGTTTCCACTGTAGTAATGTAGGGCTACCAAGAAAGTCTTTTTTTTTTTTTTGGCAGTTTTGAGTGGAAGTGGAACTGAAACACAGCTGCCGATTTAAGTCTCTTCCAGTAAGATCAACCAATCCATAACAAATAAAAAAAAACATTGACAAAATAACCCTAGACGCAGGATAAATCCCCCTCTTATCCAACAGTTTCAAGGTGCCCTCTACTGGTGAGAAATCACCGATTATCAAGCATACATGAGCCAAGTCTATCTCAGTTTTTTTTTGAGCCTTTATTCCTACGATGAAACTGCAGAAAAAGGGGGCGTATTCTGTCTCCATTCAGAGACGATTTGTCGCAATGGTTACACGGGGGCGTCATTGTTTTCCCTTGAATGTGCTCCCACATTGAGAACAATATAATTAGCTGTTGTCTCTTGGAGGAAGTGTGGTTAGTTGTTTTCTACATCGAGTGGTAAAAAAAAGCTCAGATTTTGTGGAATAGCTTGCACATTTAACAAATATAAATCATAAGTGAGAAACACATCTGTCACACGTCTGGAAAATCATTCAGTAACAGTATTACAGCAAAGTTAAAAATGAAGAAAGTCCATTTTCCTACCACAATGACATAACTAGTCATAAGTCAGCACCTTTAATAGTTGGTGGGCAGTTGAACACGTTTTTAACAGGGTTAATTCCTAATTTATTTGCTTCCTTTGACGTAAACAACATTACTAGGAAGTTATTCTTACACACTTCAAGACAAATGGTTGTAAATGATGGTGTAAGAAGGCGTGATTGTTCAGTAAGCGTGGTGAAATATGTGTTGGTTTTGCTGTCCACACATCACATTCCTTGTAAAGGTTTATTATGTGGTTTCAAGGCAGACACTTGATGGTATAAAGACTGAATACCTAAACCAAGACACCAGCTGCGGCACTGAGAACACAGAGCATGGATGCAGCGATTAGAAAGATACAGAACCTGTTTATTAGCGGAAAACTTGCTGTGTTGGATCCAAGTTTTTTTTTTTTCTTTTTCTCCAATAATGGAAAAACATCCAAGCCGGAAAATGGAATATAGATTGGAGTTAATAGTGCTTCTTGTTGTGATGACAACAGCTACATCTGTTGCCTCGAGCAGCAAAGACGTCACAGATGCAGTGGTAAGAAAATGAGAACTGATGAAATATAACTTAAAATATTAATGTGAAAACATAAGTCTCTGAGTTGGAAATTTGCATACAGTATGCAGAATTTACAAAAAAAAAAAAGGTTGGAAGCAGCATTCAACTGAACGCTGAAGATAGTTTTGAATTGTCATCCAGTTTTAATATCACTTCAAGTTCTGCAGTAACCAGATTTTTGACTGTTTCAAGCTGATTAATAACACCAATAAACTTAGCTATAAAATACGTTTATTAAGAATTGCTACTTATTTATTGCAAATTTCTGTGATGTTGCTTGTTTAGTTGGAATAGTTCAACACTGTCTTTGGATGACATAGGCTGGAATCACTTATAAAGACAACTGCAGAAAGAGATATTACGGTGAAGATAAGTTGAGGTTTTTCATCTCCAATAGCACCAACCAATCCCTCTGATAATATCAACGCTGCACAGATACACATTGTTTTGTTCACGTCACCAGAACCTGTGATAGTACTTTTTGACAAAGGCATATAAAAATAAACAAACATAGCTGGCAAATAGGACTTGACCACCTGAGGATCCAAAACCTGGACTTCTGTATCCACAGAGAAACTGACTTATGGAGACATGGCTTCTCCAACAACTTCCAACAACTTGAAGCAATTATTTTAAAAAAATAATTAAAAATTTAAAAATCTGTTTAAACATAAAATGTTTCCAGCAGGCGGCTGCAAGGTGGCGCAGTTGGTAGCATTGTTGCCTCGCAGCAGGAAGGTCGTTGGTTCGTGGAGTTTGCATGTTCTCCCCCGTGCAGCGTGGGTTCTCTCTAGATTCTCCAGCTTCCTCCCACACAGTCCAAAAACATGCTGAGGTTAATTGATGATTCTAAATTGTCTGTAGGTGTGAATGTGAGTGTGCTTGGTTGTCTGTCTCTAAGTGTAGCCCTGCGAGAGACTTGTGATCTGTTCAGGGTGTCCCCTGCCTTCACCCTGAGTCAGCAGGGATAGGCTCCAGCCCCACCGCGATCCTAGTGAGGATTAAGCGGTGTATAGATAATGGATGGATGGAAGTTTCCAGCAGACAAAATGTTGCGAAATCCTGCAACGTCAGTCTTGCATAATTCTGCTGGTTTTGCACATATTGTATCTGATATTTTAATGTTTTGAAATTTCTTTAACAAGTAAAGATCCGCAAAGTCTGTAAGTCTGTAGATGATCTTGGTTCAGTTTTAAGATGATTGGTCCAGCAATTTCTGACAAGAATTAAATTTTTGTTAAAGAAAATGAAAAAATTTTTTTAGAGCATGAGTCCAATAGAGCAAACATGCAGATGAAATTAACGACATCAAGAAAAATGTTTGACTCCAGGCTAAGCCATTTGTGTGGATCATCAATCACCCAAGTCCCAGTAATCCGAAGAGATTCAGCAGAAGGCAACTGGACTTCTTCTTTTTGGTTCTTAAGACATTCGCCTTTTGTCCAAGAAGTTTCTTTAATTCCAACGTGGCGGTGGAGTGTCTCAGTTTCAGAACCACACAAATAATGGCTTGTTACCAAACCAAGACTGACGTGCCTCGAAGTGTCAATGGTTGTGAAACTGCCAGATGAGGGACAGCTCAAGATAATTATAGCAGTGAAACCTTCTAGGAAGAGATTTCAAGACTGCATTATAAATACAAGATAAGTGGTGTTGACCCTCACTTCTGCTTAGAGATGGATGTTCCAGTTCAACATAGATTTTCCTTCACTCAACACAAGGGACTCTCCTTTGAGGATAGAAATATTAACATTCTGGACAGAGAAGACAGATGGTGAGAGTGAAGGAGGCCATCTATTTTAAACTGGAGCATCCATCCCTGAATGTAGAAGAATGTCCACACCAACACTCATCAGGTACTTACAAAGCAGATATCTCCTGACAGCTTAATCATCAATAACATCTTGAGTCATCCCTGACTTTTCAGTTTCAGCACTATTTGAAACAAAAGGCATGAGAGTCTTGGGTTGCTAATGAGCCACGGGTGATTTGGGGGTGTCAATAAATAGATTTACAAATAATTGCTAGACCAGGTCCACACAACAAGTCAGCAGTATTTTGTGCATAAATTGTAGATGTAAAGTCAACTTACAGTGAAAGAGGGATTGCTAACTGTGTTGGAATCAGCAAACAGCTGTCTTTTACAGCCTTAAGAAGAAAACTCAGAAACACTTCATCAAGAACTGCAAAATAAGAGGCAGAAAACTGGTCACAGTGGTCTAATAATAATTTACAAAGCTGTGAGCTGTGACCTGAGACTCCCCATCAGTCAGTTAGAACGGAAGAAGCCTCTAGGACAAGAGGTGAAATGTCTTCAATACCCAAAGAAAAGTCCACATGCCTTCCGGTGAAGCTCTTAAGACTCGAGGCCCAGCCATTTTCAAGATAATTGCAAAACAGTAACCTTGATTCCTTTCATGCAGCCTTTCATGCTATGTTCCTGTGTGGGTGGAATTTGCAACCCACCGGCTCACTTAGCCTTTTCTAAGTGTAAAGTTTTTTGCTGAACAAACAGTTTTAGTGGAGGAAAAAAAGATCTTCTTTGAGGCTTTAATGTCTTGAGCAGAGCTCAATAAATTCATCCGTCTTATGTCTATTAAACATGACTGCTCTTCCTTTAGGAATATTTAAAGAAGTATGGTTACCTGCACATCCCACTTGACAGCAAAGGCCAAAACCCTTCACCTGAGCAAGCAGCAGAAGCAATAAGGTGACCACATCTAATCTATTCTCACTGTCCTCATTTAATCGTTGCACTTCGTTTAAATCACATGTCAAAACATCTCCTTTGAATGTCAGCATCTTTCAGAAAGTGATGAACCTGCAAGTATCAGGAAAACTGGATTCAGCCACACTGCAAATAATGAACAAGCCTCGTTGTGGTCTAGAAGATTCTTTCAATGAGAAATCTCTCAAATATCGAGTTATGGGTGAGTAACTGCAGTAATCTTACATATTCACTGTTAAATAAAGCATGAAAAAATTAACCTAATTTGTAATTGAACAGGCTACTGGCGTAAGAAGATGCTCACATACCGCATTTACAATTACACTCCTGACCTGGGCCAGTTAAAGACCCGTACGGCCATCCAGAATGCTTTTAAATACTGGAGTGATGTGTCACCTTTAAAGTTCAGGGAGCTGCATGGAGGAAGAGCAGACATCAAAATCTCCTTTCACAGAAAAGACAGGACGTGTCCAGTGCCCTTTGATGGACGAGGTAGGAGCAAAATGTGATGATCAGTAAAAGAAACTGTGAGAGGGTCATGTCACGTTGAAACTTCAGATGAAACAATGGCATGTGTAAATGAGAGGTTCTAGCATTTAATAAGAAAATCTACTTTATCTTCAGGCCATGTCTTAGCCCACGCTGATGCCCCTGAGTCAGGCATTGTGCACTTTGATGAGGATGAACTGTGGACAGAGGGAAAGACCTATGGCTCCAACCTGAGGATTGTGGCAGCTCATGAGATTGGCCACGCTCTCGGCCTGGGTCACTCACAGTACTACAGCGCACTGATGGGCCCTGTATACAACGGATACCGCTCCGACTTCAAGCTACATCCAGATGACATACGAGGGATCCAGGCTTTATACGGTAATGCCAGAATATTATTACAGTAGGATATGAGGGCTCTTTGAAGTACTTCTTATGCAACGTGCAGTGGTGTCCCTTTTCAGGAAAGCCAGAGAAGAGTCCTCCATCCCCAAATCCAGGCCAGTTAGTGCCAGGAGGAGTTATTCCAGATCCTTGCAAGGCCACTCTGGATGCAGTTATGTTGGGTAAAGAGACTCAGCTGCTGTCAGAATGCATTTAAACAAGCCTCACTTTGCATTTTGCAAAAGAATACATACTCATTTAGTTATTTCCTCCTTCGGTGTGGTGTCTCTTTAGTTACTGTTTCTCCTACATTTTGTCTCTGCAGGTCCTTTGCGTAAAACATACATTTTCAGTGGACAGTATGTGTGGACGGTGTCCAACTCTGGCTACAACACTCCCATCCTGATTTCTGTACTGTGGAAGGAGCTGCCAGGAAGCCTCAGTGCAGCTGTTCACTCTCAGCGGACTGGCAAGTCCTACTTTCTGAAAGGTGGATTTATTTCATGATTTCAAAATTTCTCACAGGGGTACAATAAACAATGGTGGCAATGTCTTTTTTTTTTTTTTTTTTTAGAAATGTGAATACAATTTGGCATGCTTTCTGAGTGTTGCTGCAGTGTTTACAGGGTGTTTTCTTCTCTGCACATATTCTTTTACAGGAGACAAAGTGTGGAGGTACACAGGCTTCAAACTTGATCGTGGCTTCCCCAAACCGTTGGCCAACATCCCAACAAATATCGACTCGGCCTTTTACTTCAATAAGAACAAAAAACTGATCTTTGTCAAAGTAAGACAACTCACATTTGCTTCAGTTTATTTCAAGAGATTTATTTGAAGCTCCATATGTAGTTTCTGTTAAATTGTTTCCTCTTTATTTTAGGGCTCTGCATACTGGCAGTGGGATGAAATGGGTCCAACAGACTTTAGCGTATATCCCAAACCTCTGGGGCAACTCATCCGCGGAGCACCCAGCAGCACTGACGCCGTATTAACGTGGACTAATGGCCATATATACATGTTTAAAGGCGCCCAGTACTGGCGAGTAAACCAGCAGCACCAAGCAGTGGAGAATGGTTATCCTGTCAGCACCGCCTCACGCTGGATGCAATGTGATGACTGAGCCAGCAGAGGCCACCAGGGACTCAATGCAAACCTGTGATTAGGTCTAACAGCAGTGAGACGCCTCCAGTCTTTGTATTGGCTGAACTGTGTGGGTGTTTACTGAGTGTATCTGACATCAGCCTCAGTGTCTTCTTAGCTCACATCTCATTAATAAAATGAATAAAATATTTGTGTAGCTTTCAAAATTTGACATATTACTTCCCCTACTTCACTTAAACATTACTTAGACAGAGAAGAACCAGTCTGACACACACAAGAGTGCGTCTTTGCCATTAGCTCAACTAGTTATCCCTTCTTCTGCATGTATTTTGTTTATGCACATATTCGTGTGGACTGTAGCAAACTACCATGTGCAGTATTTATTGGTGGATGTGTACTGTATTATTGTGTGCATATTTATTACGATGTCTATATGAAATTTACAAAATATGTTTTTATGGCACCTTGATAACATAACAAGAGATAGCAGATGAAAACTGGCTGTCTTGGATAACTAATTTACAGTTATTATCAAAAAAGCTAATTAAACAAAATGAGGGCAGGCCTGGCTCAATATTAAAATAAAATTGCAACTTCCTAACAAAGCTCAGTTATGAGAAGAACACTGAATTTTACTGTGGTGTAATGAATAAGTGACAAACCAAGACGACTTCTTCTCAATTAAAACAAGCCCTATATTCCAAAGTACATACCTTGTCTTTTTACTTTGAGCCCTTACAAAGTACTGTTGCACGCAGTAGCACACAATTGGGACACACTACTTTGTCATGAGCTTGTTACTAGAATGAGACGCTACAGCATATATGATGCATTTTTCACGGTGCTGAGGATTGTGGGTCAGGGTGGCCAGAAAAGCACGACTGCAAAATGAGATCAGATACAGAAAACATCCATGTATTTTTGGAGAGCTGCATTTGGCATACAGTCTATTGGACCATGCCAAATCCTTCTCTGTTGTACAATACAGTCTGGTAGTATGGATATTGGAACACACCTAAAATATATTTCATGGATTTCACCTGAGCAGGTGTTTTCATAGGTCAGAGTAGGTGAAAACACCTACATGCAGGGATTTTTAAAAGAAAACTTGCTCATCCAGGAAATGTTTCGATTTGTTGGGTTTTCATGTACATTTTTGTAGGGCCAAAACTTTAGTTCTAAATGTTTTAGGTTTATCTCTATGATTATTATGCTACAGCGTCTTAGCCTTAATGTTTATATTAGTTAGGTTAAGTTGTGTAATTTATAATGTCGTAGGGTCTTCGCTACATCATTACACTAGTCAGGTTAGTCTTTATAAATGATAACACTGTAGGGTTTCAGCCACAATATGTATTATAGTCAGGTAAAGTAATATTTTATATCATTCCTGTAGGATTTTAATCCATCCATCCATCCATCCATCCATCCATCCATTATCTATACGCTGCTTAATCCTCACAAGGGTATTTTAATCCATAATATTTAAAATATTCAGGTAAAATCACACCGTAAACAACATAAGAGACATTTTAATGTAAACAACATTAGAATGTCTCAACAACTGTATTTAAACTTGTCAGGTTAAATCGTAGCACCAGTCATAATCTGTTTTACTGGAAAGCACTTTGGCTGCGTGTCTTATATGTGCTGTATCAAAAACCGATGACCTGACTTTAAAGGATAAGGTTGCAGTTGTTGACCTTACACATGTAAACAAACTGGCAGACGTGTTCACGTTGGCTGACCTGATGCAGACTGATTAGGTCAGCTGGCAGGTTTCTCTAATGCGCTTAGTACAATGGCAGTTCCAGCCATTTAATTTGTATGTTTATTTACACTAAGACTCAAAAACATGCAGTGTTTAACAAATTTCTTGGACCACCACTCAATGTAAGGTTAGTGCCACAGCTGCCCAAAATTAACAGCATTGGTAATTACCAAAATCATTTTATATGTTTCTGTAAAGGTTAATACACCACTATGTAGAAGCTCTTTAACCAAAATGACATTTTTAATGATAAAATATAATAACTATTGTTATCCATGAATGCTCACATTTACTGTTTTACAAAAAAACTGAAAAAATAGTAAAGCACAATATTATTTCTTGATTAAGATGTCAAATTATAGTTATTTACTTGAACAGAAAAAATAGTTTTAGTGGTTGAATGTTGTGATTAATTTCTGACTTCTCAGAGAAGCCCAGTGAGTCAGCTCAGATTTAGATATAAAAAGCTGAATTCAGTTTGAGATTACTCATCCCTGTTCAAGATGGAGGCTAGACGGTGGCTCAGTGGTTAGCACCGTCGCCTCACAGCTAGATGATCCCCGGTTGGCAGATCTTTCTGCGTGGAGTTTGTATGTTCTCCCTGTGCAGCGTGGGTTCTCTCCGGGTTCTCCAAAAACCACACTTGAGGTTATTGGTGATTCTAAATAGTCTGTAGGTGTGAATGTGATTGTGCTTGGTTATCTATCTCTAAGTGTGGCCCTGCAATAGACTGGTGACCTGTCCAGGGTGTCACCTGCCTTCACCCTGAGTCAGCTGGGATAGACTCCAGCCCCCCTGTGACCCTAGTGAGGATTAAGTGGGGTATAGATAATGGATGGATGGATGGATGTTCAAGATGGTAGATATGGTCTATATATACACTATGTATACACTGTTGCCCATAAAGTGGAAAAAATATTTTTTGACAACGCAATTTACTCTTGATAGATAAAATATATATCGTCTCAATACTTTATTGATATCACAAAATACATACAACACATATCACAGTAAAAATTAAAGCATAATTAACGTTTGAAAACTGTGTATTCAGGCTTAAACAAAATTGGGGTCCTGAACAATAGGATTAAGGGTTTTGTTTCAATTTTTCTACCTTGGTCACTTTAACAGGAAACACATGTTCGAGGGGATTTCATGCATAAGAATGTCCAATATCACTCTTTCAAATGTCACTCAGTCACTAATATTGAGTATGGCCACCCCTGACATGGATCAATGTGTTAAGACATGGTGGCATACTGTCCACAAGCTTGTTGATGGTGTCAGTGGGCAGGACGTCCCACTCTTAGGCCAGACCCCAAAGTCAGAATTGGTTTCATGGACAATGGTGTGTGTATACTTTGCTAGACAGGTGCTCTAACACATTTGTTAAGCACTGAACATTTGAAATTATTCTTGTAAAAATTACATTTTTGGAGAGGTGAAGGAATCTTGTGCTTTTTGTCCTGATGAATGCTGTTTTGTTCAACACCTCGCTCACCTGAACCTTGTCACGAGTGAAAAGTTAACACAAGTCTGAGAGCTGCAATAGTCAAACTGATGGGAAACAGGCTATGGTGAATTAAACCGGAATCATCCTTTCAAGTATGTTTATACCTTAAATATAAGACTCTAACCTTTAAAACACTGAAATAGCCTAATCATGCTCTTGCAAGTTTAAGTGGAATTCAGAAAACAATTAAAGCTGTAGACCAGATCAAGGTCTCCACTCCTCCACAGGGTCTCATTGGTCTTTGGGCTTATTATATATAATGTTAGCTGAGTCACTTCACTGACTTTATGACTTTTCTCTGCTTCTGCTTATGTTGCACAATGTGTTTCACATTTACCATAATCCCATTACTCACACTTTATGAACACTGACATGATAAAATACTCCAAACGCCAGCATACTATAAAGCTGTACTGCTGCAATCAAATCAATATTTTATTGTTTGTTTTTTGTCCAGAGTTACACATTTCAGAGGGATATCTTTAATTTTAATGCATGTACTTGTATGAAAATATTGTTTAGAACCATAACATTCTATTTTCAGACAAACCTAGACAGTTTTTTGGGATCTGTTTGTATCCACATGGACAGTCTCCAGGAGCATACAGAAGTATTTGAAGGGTAAAAGGTTGTTATGCTTGTGCAAAACAAAGCAGCTCATCTATAAAACATAAACTGTCTGTGAGATAAATTGTTCAAAGGATGTGATGATCATGAGCCTGATGACTGTGGATGTTGCATTAATTTGTCGTGTCATCATTCAAGGGATGAACTCGTAGCATCTCAGATCACGCTGTGTGCATGTTGATGATCATCCAGGCGAAGAGGATTCAATCCAGAAGTGGGGATGTACAGAATATTTAATTATCAGTATGTTGCGGTAGATTCCTCAGATACGGGCAGTTTAGAGTCACTTGTGTTCGTTCAGACTGCAAAGGCAGGGGAGGCCGCAGTCAGAGGCACCATGGAGCCAGTCTCGAAGTCAAAGTCAATTAGAGTGTGTGTGATAGTGCTGACGCTGCTGGTGGAGGAGCCGGTTCCCATCTGACGCTCCTGAAGGCTCTGGAGGTAACTCTGGAGGGCAAACAGGAGGAGGAGGACTGTTAAACTGTTGCTGTACAGAGAATTCACTGCAAAATCATACATGACGCCACTATTTCTCATGCAGTGCTAAACTGAAAACATTCAGGTGCAGAGACACAAGAGCTGACTGCAGGATGATACTATTTAATCTGAGCCACTGACCGGTGCCAGGACGTCTCCAGCGTAACGCTTTAGGGGCGGAGGCCTGCGACGACGGTGTGGTTGAGGTCTTCCCCTGGACTCTCTGTATTTGTGCTTCTTGCCATGTTTCTTGTGTTTTTTATGTTCAGCTGGAAAAACATTCAAAAAGGAGGAAAAAATGAATTAAATGATGAATATACAGGCTCACAGAGAGCAGCAGCTCAGTTTTTACTGGCACTTTCTAACAGATGGCATCTCTTACTCCAATTCTGGCTTCCCTCCACTGGCTACATCGTAAAATAAAGTATTCAAACAGTTTTTGCCTGTAATTTTTCTTAATAATTGAATAGCGTTCTACAGATTTTCCCTGTTTTATCAAAATGCAGACAATAACTCATAAATTCACAGAAAAAGTGTCAATTTACACCTGAACCCAATAAAAAGGTCAAAAAGTACCAAAATGTATTTTGTTTCTTTACAACAGTTGACCATAAAATTACAGAGTTTAACTATATTTGTATCAGCAAAAAAATGAAGTT